GGTTAAGCAAGGTTTTGGATTTTAGGGGGGGGGGGGGTAGACCGGGGTAAAATTTGCAAAATTCTCGAAAAATCTTGGGGGGGGGGGGTATTGGGTGGGGTAAGATTTTTATTGCATTTTTAAACGGTAATTTTTTCAAAAATCCAAAATCAAGGGGGGGGGGGGGTCCAGAGAAAATTCCCTAATATTCCCTTAAATTCCCGAATATTCCCATGTAAATTAAGGAAAATTCCCATAAGTTCCCGTATAAGTTCCCAGGAAAATAGGTAAAATTTCCAAAAATATTAAAAAAATTAAAAATTAATAAAAAACTTAAATTTTAACAAAAAATAAATATTTTTTGAAAAAAAAATTAAAAAATTAATAAAAACTAAAATTTTTACAAAAAAGTAAAATAATGTATTTTTGATTTAAAAATAGTTGATAAAAGCATTTATGATACACAATGAGTTATTTTTTGTATTTTAATAATTTTTAACTTTAACAATTAATTTTTTAAATAATACTTAATGTTTATAGTTTATTATATATTTTTAAAATGTTTTTTATACAAATACTGACTGAATACTACTTATTTAACTCAATTTTCGTTAAAGTTTTAGTTATATTAAGTATAAAATTGAAAATATTTTTAAATTTAAATTTAAAAATTATTAATAAAAAACTTATAATATAAGTATTTATTGTTTTATTAACTTCCTAAACTATCTTAAACTTATATTTAAATTGTAATATGATTTCTCTTTTCAACAAATAGGTAATTTTTAATTTTTTAGATTATTTTAATTAAAATAATGTTATTTTTGGATGAGTTTTAACGTTATTTTAACTATTTTTAATCAATAATTAGATTCTTATAAATATTAAAAACATAAAAACACTAAATAAAATAGTATCAACTAAAATTAAAATTTTTATAAATCTCAAAAAAATTTTCGGCGCCTTCGGCGCCGAAATTTTAGGGGGGGGTCATTTCTCGTCGTTTTTAAGCGACAATTTTTCCAATTTGGTCAAAAAGTCTGGGGGGGTAAAATCCCAATTTCTCGAGCTTAGGGGGGTATTTTGGCCTTACCCCCCCCCCCTACCCCCCCTTACTTAACCCTGATTTCAATATACTGTTTATATACATATATAATATATATTTTTATATAACTGGGAAATTTCCTAAATTATTTAATTAATTATTTTTTTTTTGTTGATATCATTATCTTTTACTAATATTTTGAATGAATATAAATAAAAGTAAATAATATTATTAAAAGTAATAAAAAAATACAATTTTTTTTATCTATCATAATATACAGGTATTATATTATTATATATTAATATATTTATATACAGTACTATACAATATATCAATATAGTAGAGTATATGTATAAATAATAGATAAAGTCAAAGTAAAACTGATTATTTTAGTTTTATATAAATTGATTAATTAATTAATTAAATATTAATTAATTTTTTTGGACTCAATAAAATTAAACTTATTGTTAATTAACAAAAAAAAATACAAATAGTTTAAAACGATAAATGTTTCATAAAAATATAATACATAAATTCAATTTTAATACTATTACAATTTTAAAATTATTTTTTATAAAAAAAATTATCTATTAATTTGTATAAAAATAAAATATTTATTTTTATTTAATTTAAAACATTTAAAACAAATTTTGATTTCGCAGTCAAATATTTGTTTAGATATTATATATATATATATATATATATATATATATATATTATTTAAAAAAACTTTTTGTTATTATTTTTGTTATTTATTTTTTGTTTATTTAGTTTTTATTATTTTCATCGATTCACTGATTTTTAGCAATCATTCATTCATTCATTAATTTGTTTTTTATAAATAAATATATATTTTTTTGCCGATGAGTTCATAGCCTTGTAGTTAAAAAAAATAATTTCAAAAATAAAATAATATATATTTTTGCAAAAAAAATAATAATATAACAAACAAAACAAAAATAATGTTAGTTTTGTATTTTATTTATTTTTAAATTTATTTTCAGCATAGCTTATATACATATAATATTTGCTATTTTTTAAAAAATAAATAAAAAAACTTATGTGTAAATCATATTTACTATACAAACTACTATATAATGTAATACTATATATATATGAATATTTTACGCATTAATAATATTTAAAAAAAAATTATTTTTGTGTGTTTAAAGAAAAAAGTAAAAGTAATAAATAAATCAAAATTTATAATTATTTAATTTTTTTTAATGTCATTGCCAATTATAATTTTGTTATCATTTCAAAAAAATATATAACTTTACATATATATATATATATATTAAAACTAATTAATTGCTTTAAAAAAACATCAATCAATTTGTCGCAATTTATTTTATTTATATATATATATATATTAAGTTTGTATGTTTATTTTTATCATAACAAAAATATAATAATAATAATAATTAACAAAAAATATATTTACTAAATATAAAAATTAAAAAAATAAAATATATGTTGACATATGTCTAACAACATATTGGAAAATCCAAAAACATTGTTATTAATATAAATATATATATATATTATATATAAAATAATAAATTAAATGTAATCATCACATAAAAAAGTGTTTTATAATTACAATATAATAATAGAAAAAAAAATAAAAAAAATAAAATATAAAAAATAGTGGGTTTATTGTGAATCAAAAAAAAATAAAATAAAAAAATAATAAATTATTATAATATACTGTATAACTCTATTAAATTTGATGAATAATTTATTAGACAAAAATTGTATTATTTAAAAATCAAAAAATATATAAAAAATAGTTCTTTATATATTTTATTTAACTATCATATCTAACTAATAATAACAAAAATCATTAAAATAAACCAATAAATTAAATATAATTACGTAATTCAATGTTTTCAAGTAAAATAAATTATTATAAATTAACAGAAAATTACAACAACATTATATAATAAATATTAATAAAATACTAAATTATTAAATAAAAAAGTAAAATTTTATTTTCATATATGATATAAAAATAGTAGTTTTTAAATGTATAATTTAATGTTGAAAAATTATACATAAATTATTTATATTATTATATTTTCTCTCTCTCTCTCTCTCTCTCTCTCTCTCTCTCTCTCTCTATTATATACTATATATATATATATATATATATATATATATAACTTGAAATATATATATATATATTTATATTTCTCTATATATATGCCTTTTACTAAGCTATTGTATAAACTCTTGAAAAAACTATATAATAATAATAAACTTTATTTTTAACTTAATTTTTTTAATTAAATAAATAATTTATATTTAAAAAAGGGTTGTATATACAGTATATATTTTATTTATTGGTTGATTTAATTAAATATGATTTAAATATTATGATAAACATTGTGTACAGTAGTATTCAACAACAAAAAAACTATTAATGTTTTTAAAATATGTATATATTTATAATATAGTAGACGACAAACATGTGGTTAATTAAATTAAAAAATAAATTGTTAACAATTATGTCATTATTATTATTATTAAAATTATAAGTAGTTTTGTCGAGAGATTATAAAAAGTTATATATTTTGTTGTTTTTTTTAAAAAAAAGTTTACAAAATAATTTTAATGGCGTTATTATATAGCGTGCAAACAAACAAAAAAATATTTTTAATAATAATAATATATAATATTGTAAATATATTAAAAAAAATAATTTTTGTTTTTATTTAATACAATTAAATATATTAAACTAAAAAAATACTATACAATAAAAATAAACCCATAGTTTATAAATAATTTTTTATTTTTGTGTAACCCTTTTGTTATAATTTTTATTTTATTTTCTATATTTATTTTTTGTTTGTTTTTTTTGGTGAACATTAATCTAAAATAAATAAATAAATAAATAATTATATTTGACTATAATTTTCATTGATGATTAACTTTTATAAATATATACTACTACTACTACTACTAAATAATATTTATAATTTAAATAATTTAGTATTTTTTTAACAAAAATTAATAGTTTAAACTACTGTATATTTACAACAAAAAAAACTAATTTAGATAAACTAACTATAATTACAAAAATAAAGTATATTATATATATATCGATATATATATTTAGATAATAATGTTAATGATAATATATACTATATTTACGATAACTTAATTATTAATAATTATTAAGATTTTAATCAATTAATAATTGTTAAAAAAAAGTGTTAAAAATATAATAAAACAAAACCAAAAATAAAATTTTAAAAAAAATTACTAAACTAATGATCTATAACTAAACTATTTTAAAATGTTTGTTATTTTTTAAATTTTAAATTATACAGTTTGTTAATTAGATTTTAATCACTATTAGGATTAATTATAATCATTGATGATACTTGTAATAATAATAATTTTTTTAAAAGTTAAAACTAAAACAAACTATAACTTTATTTATATTATTTGTTGTTAACATATATTGTTAACAATTGAAAAAAATTGTGAAAACATATTTATTTTAAAAATAATTACATTAATAATATATTTGTAAATTATTTTTATTATATATAGAATTTAAAATAATATTTTTAAAAAACTATTTAAAACAAAATATTAAACATTTATTGTTAAAAAAATATATTAGATTTTTTATTATTTATAGTTTATTATTTATTTTAATTATAAAAACTTTAACTACAATATTAATAATTAATTTTTAAAAACCCCATACTATTATTTAATTAAAAACATTTATAAAACTTATATAACTTTAATAACAATTTATTATAGTATAGTATTAATCAATGCAATTGAGAGGTGCACTCTATAGTTAGGAAAATAATTTAATAAAATAATTATTTAAACAAAAAAAGTCATAAAAAATTTTACTTAAAAATTATATTTAAAATCAAAAAAAATAATTAAAAATATGTAAAATAATAGTAAATTTTTGTTATTATTATTATTATTAAAAACTACTGTTAAACTACTTGACGGGCTGTATATCGGCGTTGACTACTCCATGAAGGCCTGGCTTTACCTGCAATTACATTGAAATTATTTTTCATATCATATTTTCCATTAGTATTATAATAATAATTATTTTTCTTAATATTATTGTTGTTGAGTGATGATAGCCAACCATATATTTTATAACTAAATTAATTAATAATTTAAAAAAATAAATAAATAGCTATTAATAAAACAATTATATATATATTAAATAAATAAGTTTTTTTTAATTTACCAATAAAACAAAAACATTAGACCAATCAATAGGATTGCCATTAATGTAAATATTTGTAAAACAATAGCTAAAACATCAAAATTGTTTTTTAAATAATTGGTTTCATTATCATCTGATTTATTGTTCAACAATTGTTGTAACCATAAGTCAAAAATTTGTGTCAAATTATTATTAGTAGTATTAATATTGGTATTAAAATCCAAGTTATGTTTTAGTGAATAAAATGTTTTATTATTATTAAACAATAATTGTCTCCAAAATTTTGTATCATTTATAGACTTAAGTAAAATAGTATTGAACTCCAGTTTCTTCAATATATTAATTTTCATGAAATTTTTCAAATCAAATGAGTCGCTGAATAAAACCTATTAATGGAAAATTTTTTTTTTAAAAGTTTAGTTTTAAAATACATTGATATAATAATTTCAAACTTTATATTTAATTTAAATAGTTTATTATAAATCAAACATTACTTGATTTCATAATAAAAATTAAAAAAAATTAGTTTTTAAACTTTAGTTTAAACTTTTAGTGTTAAAAATTTATCTAAATT